AAACATTTCTTTGTGCCTTTCAGTCTCTCTCTCTCTCTCTCTCTCTCACACACACACGCACACACACAGTACAGTCCTGTAAGCATATGAGGTATCATGGGTAATATACTACAAAGTCTGTCATATTACTGCAAAGTATGTGAAGGGAAATTAGATATAATTAAATTACTATCATTTAGACTGGGTAACATGAAACACAAAAGCTGTACTTTACTGTAAGTGTTTTTGTTTGTGTGTGTTGTGTGTGTGTGTGTGTTGTTGTGTGTGTATGTTTGTGTCTGTGTGCATTACTGATAATGTAAGCCAGTCTGTTACAGATGACGGCATCTTCAGAACAAACCACACAGGAAGCAGGGCATGATGGGGCAGGGGGCACAGGCTGGGCTCTGATGACTGACAGCAGCAACATCAGCAGAATACCTGCAGACAAATTCACATTTCCCACAAAAACTATAGGAAAAATTACACCGTCTGGTTTTCCACCTACAATAACTGCAGTTAATGACTGCAATTCATTTCAATGATTGTCTCATTTGTTTATGATGTAAATCCATTGTGTATAGTACTTACTGGTCATGTTGTGTTACAGTGGAGGTAACATGGTGATGAGGTAGCATCTCTTCCACAAGGCTGTAACCCGACACAGCTGCATCACTGTCATGATCATCATCTGTTCGGCCTGTTGAAGCATATAATTACATCTTTGGAAATACACTCTACATTTTGTAAAAAAGAATCTTAATAAATGGTCTGGAAGTGATCTTGGCTCAGACTTGGCGTGAGTGCAGTAACACTGAGGAACAGACCGTGGTGTCATTTGGACATGTGAATTTAATTTGTAAAGATTGAAAGAAACTTAATTGAACTCCTTTCAGTTTGCTTTGGGCCCTCTGGAACCCCATTAGAGACCTCAGAATGTCCTTGGACCAAAGATTGTGGACCTTTGATGGCTCACCAGTTGTAATGTTTGTTCACTGTTTGATCTGAGTTGCTAGGCAAACAAAACAATAAATGGCAATGAACTGCTGTGTGTTTGTGTGTGTTTGTGTGTGTGTGTGTGTGTCATCAGGGTAGGTGGAGGTAGTCCCCAGAGAATGCTGACTGATGGATAACAGCCAGACATTGAAGCAGGATGAGGCCTATCATGTTTCTGCTAAAGCTCTTCTCCTAATGGACTTTCTTCTAGTGAGCTGTCCTCTTAAAAGAACAAATATGAGTTACTTCTCTTTATTGTCATAGTTTCTTTGTAGTCAATTACCTTCTCTTTATGGTTGTTTTGAAACTCTTTTTAGTCATTTTGAGTCTCTTTGTTGTCATTTGCCATCTCTTTGTAGTAATTTGTTTGTAGAACATTTCTTTGTCTTTGTGGTGATTTTAAGTGTTTTTGTGGTTAATTTCTTTCTCTTTGTAGTACTTTTGAGCTCTTTGGTGCCTGTGCCTGATAATCCCACTGTGCACTGTGTGTCTATGGTTCATGATTAACTCAACCACAGGTTTGCTGTATGGCCGGTAGTTTTAATGTTAATGTTTAATGTTAAATATACATATGAAATTTAAACATAAATATAGCAGCAAACTATTAGTTATGTAAAGGTATAGTGGAGTTATGGTGTCACTCTGATAATAATGCCAAAACAATCTTAATCCCAAAATCTTATAGGGATCCTTTCTGTAATGTTACTTAGAATAAAAATCTGAGCCGGTCAGTGGCAAAAACAGCACTTTCTGTGGATGTAATGTGAAGGGCGCATTTGTCCCCAAAGATTAACATTAGTTTACGTTGTAGCCATTTAGACCCTTTTCACAATGAATAAACTTAGCTCACACAGTTAAGGGTTTATGTTGCCCAAACCAGTGTTACTGATTGTGATTGACTGTGGAAAGACTAACAAGTCAGTTTTGGTGAGACACTGGTGCTCTAGTGCAACATCCTGTGGCAAGTGAACTTGGATAATGCACATGTAATATTAACTGAAATATTAAAAATATTAAAAAAGCATCAAGACTGAGTAAAAATGCATGCCTGGTTGGTAATCAAGCTGTAGTTTACATGAACTGCTGCCAATGAACTACTTACTCACCTAAAACCGTTTCACTAGTGTTGCTTTCATCGTAGCACTTTAGTGTCCCATTACAGTGTGGTCCACAAGGTGTTTTACACATCTCTACATTAGACATTAGAATGTTTTGTTTGTTTTTCCCAATATTTTGTCACTGGCACAATCAAAATCTATTCCCTCACCCTGTGAATCAGGTTCATTGTGACCTATAAGTGGACCCCAGCTTCACCTTAATATCTTCTGCCTTCATCCTGCAAGCTTGTGACAATTCAGTTAAAATAATATACCCACAGGTGACTGACATTCACCACCATACACCAAAGAGAGGTCTGAACATGTGAGGACCTTTTTCTGCAATTTCACTGATTTGCTTTCTGCCTGGCTTTAGTTTGTGAACACCCATACACCTCCTCCTAAACCAAGTCAAAAATGATTAGAGATAATGTAAAAACCCAGTACACACTGCTTACCTCTTGAACAGAGCCCAAAGGTCCTCCCCTGCTGATGACATGGTACAGTCCACTCACATATTAATCCGTAATAAGAATGATCTGTAGCTCTGTGGACGGTCTACTGTTGGTGGACTCCATCATTTACTGGTTGCTACGGGGCTGTAGCAGGTACTGTGTAAACGTGTGTGTCTAGCTTAAGTTACCTGGCCCTCTCTGGAGCATGCTCAGTAGAGGCGGCTGTCACCTGAGAGGCACAGATGTCGTGACTCAGTTCCCTGAGTCAGAAATGAGCCTTTAACTTTACTCTGTCACCTTAATTCCTCTTTCTTGAATGTCAATATGGTTTAATAGGATTGCCACAAAACATTCCAAAACGTTTTTTTTGTTACAAATTTCTTTTATTTTTTACAATGTACAGCTAATAAAAATTTGGGGATTTTGGTCTCTAGATCATTGTGGTGAGTGAATGAGGACAATTGTAGAATTCTTTTAGTAAAGGCATGATGGTATTTCTAGGGCTAATCTTACATTGTTGCTATCATTGTGTAACACATATAGTTTTACAATTTCATTCAGGAACATCAGCAATTTAATCAATTCCATACTCTATTCTACATCTCAAGTGTATTTGTCACTATCAGTCAGCTCGAAAAATATTTTGTTACATTCTTGATTAAATTAAACCCAACATACAGAAAGAAACCATGTACAGTGTATTATTTAATGATTACAGTTAATCACCTTAAATATTCACTTAAAGCTGCAGGAATCAAACTTATCTTAACAATGACTATTAGTAACATGAGCCCTGAATTATCAGGCAAGTCTGCAGTTCTCCTCTGCTCTAAAAACCCACTGTACACTATAGCAGACAGACATACTTAGCATCTAACTGGGGAACAGAGTGGAGCATTTAGCAGACCAAAACAGAGCTAAAGGAGAGTGAATATTGGACTTTAAATTCATGAGGTGGCAGGAAACATAACTCCAAATAAATGTTAATGTGCGCATAAGCAATTATTAGCTAACATACCAACTCTATAAGGTGATAATATGTAAATGTTGTGTTTTCAGAAAGTTCTGCTGCCCCCAAGTGGCCAAAACAATATTAATGAATCAATTAATGAAACAAGATTAAATTAATTTTGGTTTTTTTTGGGCTTTTATTGCCTTTAATTGATAGTGACAGCTGAAGATAGCCCCCACAACCTTCTTTAAGTCCAAACCACAGCTAAACTAAGGGAGACTCTTAAGGAACTGCTATAATGAACACGGTAAAGGTCACATACATAGCCGACAAAGGCAGCCAAAGGCAACAGAGGTACTTTTTTGAAGCCTAATTTACTGGTTCCCAACCTGGGGGTCCCGGAGGGTTGCGAGACCTTCGTGATTTTAAGAATATATATAGTAAGATCTAAAAGAACAATAAGAAGAAAACATAGAATTTGTCAAAAAAGAAACTGTATAGATGTATAGAAAGCTGTATAAAATGTTAAAATGTAATATTCAAAGGAAATAATCTGCTCAAAATGTATCCAAATCTCTCATTTTACACAAACGTCCTGCAGTTATTGTGTTCACTGTTTGGGTTCATTGTACAGTTTATCAGCTGTTCTCTACTGTTACTGTTATGCAGTGAATACAATATGAAAAATATGATAAAATATATAAAAACTAAAAATATGTCACTGAGTCATTTTACTCAATGACAGAAAAGGGGTCCCTTGAGGAAAAAGGTTGGGAGCCAGTGTACTAGCTAGTCTTGTACAACTCAAGTGATTGGACCACGCAGAATCACACATTATTCCTTGTTAGATTTAGTAGTTGAAATTAACCATGTCGTCATCTTCAGTTTGACAAATCACAGCAGACCTCAGTAACTTCAACCTTCTAACCTTTATATTCTTGTTACCATGTTTTGCATATTGGCAGTGATGAGTGATCAATGAGTTTGTGTCTAAGCGCATTAGTATTCTAGTAAAAACCTTCAAACCTTAAATTATTTAAACCTCAATGTCACCACATTAATCACTGTTTGCTCCTCAAGAGTCCGCTTTATGAACAGCCAAAACCCTAACCCCATGGTGACATTTGACCTGCCTGCATATGAACACATCATCACATGGTCAGGACCATCTTCCCAGCAGCCCCGGGAGACTCAATGATGTCATGGTGGGCCTGGGCGGCCTTGTCGAGCGGATACTGGGAACCAACAACTGGACGCAACCAACCAGCTTCCATCCCTGCGTAGAGCTGTGCTGCACACTCCCTCTGCTCCTCCTGAGAGAGCAGACAACAACACATTCTAATCTACTCAAACACTGTATTGGAGGGAAGTTGTGTTGTTTATGCCATCATGTGATCACTGTAAGTACCGGTAGGATCTGACTTTAGCCAACTGAGAGTCATGTGAGGTGATTTAAGCATACTGATTGGCTGGTGCATGCAGGTAGTGGCATTAAGTCCAATGTATTACATTACCAGCCACTGATACACAGAACAACTCTCATCACTCTCAATCACATTCAACTAAGCTGAATGAGATTGTCACATGTGTATCATCATCCAAAGTTTGCAATATCAACCACTCAGTGTGTGTGTGTGTGTGTGTGTGTGCGTGTGTGTGTGCGTGCATGCGTGTATAGTGTGTGTGTGCGTGTTTGTGCGTGTGTGTGTGGGTGTGTGTGTATGTGTGTGTGTGCGTGTATGTCTGTGTGTGTGTGTAACATGGCTTATGTGATGTCACTGCTTTGTACCGGTGTGGCGAAGAAAAGAGCCACTCCCATGATGCTGCTCTCTTTAGCCATGGTGTCTCTGGGGTTGATCTCTACGGGGCCTCTGGAGCCCACGATCTAAACAGAAAAAGACATGAAGGAGTGTATTAAAAAAAATTAAATGCACAGGAACGAGCCACACTGGAATACAGCTACTGTAACTAATGTCTCATCTGTCACTGTTTTGTTAAAATAGACCCAGGAGATGAGCTAATTAAAATACAGTTTG